CACCATGTACAAGACAAAGCCCAGCTGAAAGGCATGGTGCACAAGAGCCTAACCACCACCCTCTTTGCCCTCTCATTATCTCTCTCCCTGTGCTCCCACACCCTGTTCTCCAGCCTTACCAAACTCTTTGCTGTTCCAGAAATATGCCATTTAGTTTCATGGCTCCATGCCCCAGTACATGTTGTTCCCTTTGACTAGATTATCGCTTGCCTTGTCCACCTGTCTTGTGTCTCTACTGGAATCCCTCTCACTCCTCCCAGCCCAGCTGATGGTTTGTTCCCTTAAGCTCCCACAGTGCACAATGCATGTATGTATAAGTCTGCAGTATCCATGATCACTCTGGCTGTTTACTGACAGGTTTTTCCCATGAGACTAAACAGGTTTGGCATCTGGTTTGTCTTTATATCCACAGAGCCTGGCATATAGTGCTCATTCTATTTGAAATAAATGGAATGTTTTGTAAAATATGCTGTTCTGTACCCTACCCTCTGTAAAGTGCCACCCAACATGCATAATATTATAAAGTCTCCTGATCTTGGTGATTGTCACTCTCGGTAGAGACTCCAGGCCCAGCCCATATCTCCTCACTTGCAGCTGTTGGCATAGCTGCTTCTGCTCCTTCCATGATTTGGTGTGAAGGACTTAATGGACCAGGCACATTAGGCAGCTTTGGTCACCTGACACTCAAAGTATTTCAAAGCTTGACAGTCAATTGGGGGTAATACTAGGCCAGACGTTTTCATTTGTCAAGGCAGTTGCTACCCAAGTTCACAAGTAAAGCCCACTCAGAGTTTGTGTATCCTTTGTTGACTTTTTCTTAGTCTCATGCACTGCTCTGCATATTTAGTTTATAAAGCATTTCCTGTCCTTTACCTCATTTTACTCATCCTAAGGTGAATCCTTCTGATATTATTAAAATATGGAATGAATGCTTAATTGGGGAGATTTCTGTTTGGGAGACATCCCTTATTATTGAGAATATTTTGAATTTTGTAGTTAAATCTCGGTTCATACTTTTATTTTGCCACTTCTTAACTCAAGCTGTTTAGCCTCTCTGAGCCAATCTTTAAAATGTGTTAATACCTACCTTGCTAGGTGGTTTTGAGGATTCAATGAGATTACATAGACTAACTGCCTAGTTCAATCCCTAACAGGAAGTGTATGCTTATTAACTTTTAATCCCTTTGAGTTCTAAAGAGGAGGAGAAAAATTACTTTGGGATATTTTGACCTCCAGACTTAGCCTGCCAATAAATTCTTTATTATGCTCCCTTATAAAGTACTGAATGCCATAGAAACTGAAAATCAGCATATATGAGAAGTCTTCAAAAAGTTCTGTACATATAATATATGCTTGTCTATGCATCCCTGGAAGGATACATTAAAAACTATTAGTCGTGGTTACTTTAGTATTTCTTACTTTATTTATTTTTTGTTTTTTGGTGGCACGCCAGTACAGGCATAGAACCCTGGGACCTTGGTGTTAACAGCACCACATTCTAACCCACTGAGCTAACCAGCCAGCCTTAACATATAGTATAAAGCAAAGTAGAAGAATCTTCAGCTTCTTTTTACAAACACCATTTAGGGCTGTATGTTTTATCCAATAAACTTACAAGAAAATTGCATATACTGGTATTGTTATTTTGCTTGTTTAATGTGAGTTTGCTGCTTTTTAATCTTTCAAGGATTTGAAAAACTGCTTTTATCTTTCTTGATCATTATTTACAGAAAGCATTTTATTGTTAATTTTATATTTATATATTTGATGTTTGTATATTTGTAAATTCACATCACTTGAAAATCTTTTAATCTGATTTTTAGGTATTTCAGACAATATCCTGTGAATTGGTTTTTAAATTAAAGAAACATGAGGAGAATATTGCTCTGTGATGTTTGTTCAATAAAGTAGCAAGCTGACTTTTTTTTTTTTTTAATTGGCATCTGGGCACTATGAGGATCTGAACTTATGACCTTGGTGTTATAAGGCTGTGCTCTGACCAACTGAGCTAACTAGCCAGCCCCAACAAGTTGATTTTTTTAAGCAAAAAAAGAAAAAGATTGCCAATATAACATGAAATTTAGAGTGCTGTAATTTCTGAAGTACCATTGTTGAATAAGAATAGGAATTAGTATGGTTATAATGTGCAATCCACATGTTCATCTCATAAAGCAATGGGGAATTTGCTTTCATGAGAGTTTTTTGTGGCCTTTGCTTAAATTCCTAGTCCCCTTCCTTAATACCTGGGGTCACTCTCTCTTTACCTCTTACATATTTGCCTGGTGTTGTCTGTGTCCTTAAGCAAGCCTGCTAAACAGATTAGAAGTAGTCTGCAGAAAATCATTTAGTGTTTCTATAGAAGAGGTTCACACTGGCCTGTCTGCATCACGACCTTGTTTTGAAGCACTGGCGAAGATCCTGAGCATTTATGTTGGCCATTTGGAATCCCAGCATGTGACTGCTCCTGGCACGATCTAGGAAAAGGCAGAAAATAAGTTATGTGTGTATTAGAGATCAAAACTATAAAGAGTGTGCAGGAATAGCCCTGGCCAGAGATGATGATACGCAATTATAAAAGGGCTTGTGCAGAAAGAAGGGGTACCAATTCAAAAGGTCACATTCTCTATGATTCCTCATATAAGACATTCTGGAAAAGGCAAATCTATAGGGACAGAGAACAAAGCAGTGGTTGCTAGAAGTGAGGAGAGGGGTTGATTACAAAAGGACAAATTTTAGGGAGTGAAGAAACTGTTCCATATCTTATTATGGTGGTGGTTACATGACTTTATGCATTTGTCAGAACTTCTAGAACTGTATACAAAAAAAGTATATTTTACTATACATAAATTTGAACAAAAATGAAGAAAATGAAGGGACATAGTTTGTCATATGATCATAGTTATGTGAAGTTGGGAAGAGGTTGAGTCTCAACCAAGTTCTAATTTTTAAAACCTTGTTTTCAGTGGTTACAGGGAATTACCTTACCTATAGAAGGATTTCTAAACATGCACTTTTAGATATTTTAGCTAATTTTTAAAATAAAAATAATGTATGTGTATAGAAAATTTTCAAGTAATCCAGAAGGTTATACAGCAAAAAGGAAAAATCTTTATTCCCGTCTTGTGTCCAGTCACATTCCCCGTATGTAATCGCTATTGACAGTTTACTTGGTGTGTGTATGTATGGTGCTGTCCTGTGCCTGCTTTCCCCCCACAATTTATCTCAGAGATGTCAGAACATCAGTGCTTGTCGATTTATCTCATTCTTTTTAATGATTGCATATTTTCTGATTTGGGGTATTTCCTAATTTATTTTACCAGTCCACATTAATGGATATCCAAATTGCCTATAGCAGGAGAAGACTTGAAACAAGACAGTAATGAACGTTTTTGTGCATTCAGCTTTGTGCATGCACTTGTCTAAATATAGCTGCCTGTGGGACATAGCTACAAGTGAAATTATTGGGCCAAAAGTTATATGCAGTTTTAGTTTTGTTATAGATAATGCCATGCTCCCTCTAGGGAGGTTATACCAATTTGTATTCCCACTATCAAGTATATGGGAGTTAAGGTTAGCAGGCACTTAAAAATTTGTGGTTAACATACTGTTTGTTGGGCCGGCCCATGGCTCACTGGGGTATATGGGAGTTAAGGTTAGCAGGCACTTAAAAATTTGTGGTTAACATACTGTTTGTTGGGCCGGCCCATGGCTCACTCGGGTGAGTGTGGTGCTGATAACACCAAGGCCCCGGGTTCGGACCCCATATAGGGATGGCCGGTTAGCTCACTGGTTGAGCATGGTGCTGACAACACCAAGTCAAGGGTTAAGACCCCTTACCGGTCATCTTTTAAAAATAAATAAATAAATAATAAAATAAAATACAGTTTGTTACTAACTCAAATTTATCCTCACTTTCTGACAGCATGTGTAGTAAAAATTCAGCTATAAGATGAAAATTAGCAAATCATGTGTTAATTTGTATTCTTCAGTTTTTGTGACATTTAAAAATCTCGATTCTAAAATTAATTATTTCAGGGGTAAAATAAGTTTTTAAAGAAAGAATTCATTTTATTTTCCTTTTTTTTCTTTACATTTTTTATTATGGTGAAATGTATATAAAATATACATAGGGCCGGCCTGGTGGCCACTCGGTAGAGTGTGGCGCTTGGGAGCCCGGCGGCACTCCCGCTGAGGGTTCGGATCCCATATAGAGACCGGTCCGCTCACTGGTTGAGCGCGGTGCAGGCACGACACCGAGGGTTGCGATCCCGTTACCGGTCACGAAAAAAGACAAAAAGGAAAAAAAAAATATATATATATATATACACACACACACACACACACACACACACACATAAAATTTGCCATTTTAACCACTTTGGATTGTATAACTCAGTGGCATTAATTACATTTACAGTATTGTACAACTATCACTGCTATTTCCAAATCAAGTCTTTTTTTAAATTATGGTAAAATAATATGTAACAAAATTTACCATTTTAACCATTTTTAAGTTTACAGCTTAATGTCATTAAGTATATTCACATCGTTGTGCAATCATCACCAGCATCTATCTTCAGAACGTTTTCCTCTTCCCAAAGTGGAACTCTGTACCCATTAAACAATAACTCCCGATTCTCCTCTCCCCCAGCCTCTGGTATTTGCCATCTGCTTTCTATCTCTATGAATTTGACTACTTTAAGTATCCTTGTATATATTTTCTATGTCAAAAATTACTTTTTTTGGTTCCCCACACTGGCCAGCCACCAAAAAAAAAAAAAAAAAATTGCTTTGGAGGAGGGAAAAAACACATAGTACAAATTGCAGAGATAAACCAGAAGCTCTCTCAGGAGTGCCACAAGTTACTTTTACATCTTCTGTTCCTGCTGTTTAGAGGGCATGCTGTCATTGTGGAAAGCAGACATTTTATGGTATCCCGTGTCTGGAATAGTGCCTAGAGTAGGTGCTCAATGCATGCTTGCTGAAGGATTGATGAATTTATGCAAACAACGTACTATGTGATATTACCTAAAGACAGTAAAGTCTCTGCAAATCTGATAGGACTCAAATTATTGTATTTGTTGTTCCATAGGAGATTTACATCCTCCAATAACAGACCTCGAGAAGACAGCTGGTTAAAATCCTTATTTGTCCGGAAAGTTGATCCAAGAAAGGATGCTCACTCTAATCTCCTAGCCAAAAAGGAAACAAGCAGTCTGTACAAATTACAGTGTGAGTGAGAGGTTTGCTGTCTTCATAGTTGGCTTGTCTCCCCCTTTGTTCATAAGTTTATCGTTGAATTTTCTTTTGTTTCAGTTCACAATGTTAAACCGGAATGCCTAGAAGCATACAACAAAATTTGGTGTGTATACCAAACTATCCTTTACTTGGGGAAAAATAATGATTTTAATATTTGTTGGTTCAGCAACACTTTGCTAACACTTGTTAGCAAAGCCAAATGTTCAGAGGCTCTTAAACTGAGCCCTTTGTGGGTCAGCAGCATTTTGGTTTTAAGCACTCACACAGCTAAATCATCACACAGTCTATCGGACTTTAGAATGTTACTAGACTCTGAAGGTTAGAAGGAACCTTACAAGGCCATCTGGTCCATCTACTCATCCAGGGCTTGAGTCCTTTCTGCAGACCTTCCTGCCGGCCTGTGCTTAGAGAGATTCCATCTCTGGACAGCTTTGAGTGTTGAGAATCAGAGCACATGTTCTTGTGATCTCCACTGTTTTCTAATTTCACTCCTAAGTAAAACTGCCACTTGTAACTTCTGTACATATTTGAACATATGAGGGTACTTCAAAAAGTTGGTAGAAAAATAGAATTATCTTTCCATGAACTTTTTGAAGTACCCTCATAGGTGCCATTTACTCCCAAGTCTTCCATTCTCCAGGATCTAAGTTCCTGTGGACAATTCTCATATGGTATGAGATCAATATTCTCTTCAAGAATTTGTGAACCTTAAGACCAAAGGGAAAGTTAAGCTCATCCATTCTTAATCAGGTTAACAGAGAGAGTATTTTAATGATCAGTTGTGAGCAAATATAATGAAAAAGTATTTTTTTGTCTTTAATATCTGCTACTATCTGCTACTTGCAAGAGAAAACAAATGATTTTGTTTGCAGAATCAGCATAATTTTCAGAAGCATAAACCTTGTTTTATCTTTGGAGATGGTTCGTGAAATTAGCACAGAATTTCTTGCTCACCTCAGAACATTTCTCTTTATTTAAAAATGCCCTAAGACAAAGCAGATGTTTATTTCTAAGTCTTCTCTCATAAAATGAGATTTTTCTCTATGCTGATGTCTCCCTGGATGATCTTTCCTGCCCTGTTTTTACACTTCGCCTCCTGTCTGTGATTTCTGTTCATGTTTCTGTTTGGATGTCTTGCTCTCACTTCATACTCAACAGGTAGAATCACTTTGTTCTTCCAACCTCCCTTTGTGTGTCACTCACCGTGTTTTGCTTAACATTTTCCTTGGTTCTTTTTGATTAGTTACGTACTAAGGGCCGAGCATTCTTCATTTGACATGTATTTTGATCTTCTCTTGTTTCCTTCTCCACCTCCCTCTCCAAGCCCATCAAGCCCCATTCACAGGTAGCCTCCTTTCTGACTGCCTTTCTGGGCTTGCAGCTGTGCCTGCATTTCCACCCAGCCATGCAGCCCATTATTCAGATATTTGTCAGATTGATCTCCTTGGGTTCTGTTTTTTCCTTCATCACACTTTTCATTTTCTCTACCCAGCCCACCCAGTTCTGGGTACAAGTACTGCCTGCCTTACACCTCCATTCAGGTAAGGCCAGGGCTTCCAAGAGCAGGTTTGGGGTTCCCAACAAAGAGGATTGGCTACAAATCCATATGTGACTTTGTATTGGTGAAGAACCTAGTCCCCATTGTCAGGCCCCTGGCCCCTTTCTGGACCCTCCCTGGGTCATTTGTACTGGCTTTTTCCTCTTCGTTGGCTCCAGTTCAGGGATGCTTACTTCCTGCTCATTTCATGTGGCAAAAAAAGAAACCCACTTTCATTTCCCTACTCTGTCTTTTCTCACCCTGATTTTCATCAGTGCCACATTATTTCTGAACATTCATGGGATATGCATCAGAAACATTTAATATCAGACCTTAAATTTAAAAAGTAAATGCCACCCTTCAAAAAAATGCACATGGTGTGGTTATTATACCATAAAGACGTATGGTTTTCAGCTGGGGACATTTGGAGTTTTTCTCTGTTAATTATTCATATACACCCAGTCCTGGTACCCCAGCATCTGGTGGTGACTACTAGCATAGTATCACTCAGTGTCAGCAAATAATTGAAACAGGTTTGATTTTTGAACCTTGGTATTCTTTTGCATCCATTATTGAGTCTGTAGTGTATATTTCATCATAATTGTTCTATTTTAGCTTTTCTCTTGGTATAAAGTAGTTGTGTCTCTTCCCGTTGCCTTTCCCTGTACATTAGAATCTATACCACAGGAGGGTTTCCATGGACCCAAGCTCTGATCTGACACCTCTGTTAAATTAATACCTGCCACGGCCTGTCATGGCCTTGCCAGGGCTCCTGATGCCCTTTGGGACTGTCGGAGGTTGGGGTTGCTTCCGTACTGTGCTGTGTTCTAGCTCTGTCTTCTTCCTCCTTCCTTGAGACCAGCTTGTTCTCTTCTTCTGTTACCTCTGCCTGCTTGTGCTACCCCATTGTCTGCCTCTGTATTCAACATTACTTTCTTCCCTTTGTGTCTTTCTTATTTCATCCATTTTTTTTCTACTATTCCGTGTCTCTGATTCATCCTATCTTTGGAACCACCAGAACTTAGCTTTTATAAATATCACAATCCTGAGTAGTTCCTTTTTTTTTTTTTTTTTTCTTGAAATGGCAGATAGTAGATCTATAGCTGCTGGAATCTTAGTTATTTTTTGCTTACAGCTCTTCTAGATAGTTAAGGTATCAGAAACCTAAGCTTCTGATAAGTGGGGTGTTAGAGTTTTTTTTTTTTTTTTTTTTTTTTTTTTTTTTTTTTTTCTTGAAATGGCAGATAGTAGATCTATAGCTGCTGGAATCTTAGTTATTTTTTGCTTACAGCTCTTCTAGATAGTTAAGGTATCAGAAACCTAAGCTTCTGATAAGTGGGGTGTTAGAGTACTATAGAATTCAGATAACAGGTTAATTCTGCATGTCATTTTATCATCATAAATATGTTCGAAGGTCAGTTGCTAGAACACAGACCAGGTGGTCTTTTTCCTGTTACTAATTATGTTTTGTCCACCTGGTAAAATTTTGTTGCTGTTTAATTAGTGCTGCTATTTCTTTTCTTTAAGTCAAGAGGTGTTGCCAAAGATTCATGAAGATAAACATTACCCTTGTTCTTTGGTGGGAACCTGGAACACGTGGTATGGCGAGCAGGATCAAGCTGGTAGGAAGCATAAGTCTTTGGAATAAACACTTCTTCCTTAAGCCTTACTGTAACCACTTAAGTAATTTTCTAATTAAATGTTTGGTTTTATAATCAAAGCTCTCCAACTGCAAAAACTGCTTTTTGTATTGCTTTTAATGTTTGAATCTCTTATTGAAACTTTATGGTGTAACTTACCGGCCATCACAAGGCACGTTACAGTTTTGTTCTGTGCTAACATTGTGCATACCTAGAATATTTTCAAGGTAACAGTATCATGAAACTCTAAAAGTATACTATCTTTTAAAATGTATTTCAGTTCACCTCTGGAGATATGAAGGTGGCTATCCAGCCCTCACGGAAGTCATGAATAAACTCAGAAAAAATCAGGTAATGATTTTGAAAAATGTTCACTTATTCAGACTAATGATATAGTAGTTGTTAATACAGAATTAAATGACTCTTAACAGTTTTTGTTAGTAAACTGTTCATTTTTCATAGTAGAAATGTTATGATTTGGACTCTTGAAGTTGTATTTCAACTTAAAGTCACCAGTTGTGATACTATGAAAATAACAGTTGTTATTGTGAAAGTCACTTGTACTTTGAAACTGGTAAATCAGTGTGGTAGATACAGTCAGCCCCAGATTACCTAACATGTCGACTTTAGGAACTGTTAGCCACAATGTATTCTTTACCTTTGGTTGACTTTGCTATCCTACCCCTCCCTTCACTAATAGGTGCATTTTAGTAGAGAGGATTTCAATAGCCATACATCATTAGGAAAGAAAATCCTTTGTATAGATTCCCAGACAAATATAAATGGCTCTTGAATTATCTGCTGTTTGTAGTCTCCATGTCACCTCTATTGATGTACTATCAAGCACTGTTGGTAGAATCTAAAAATATAGGAAATTGAATTTGTGTACATTGTCATTTTGTTTGTTTTATTTTTAGGGTTTTTTTTTTCTTTTTAGTTTATTACATTGTGTAAATAATTAGGATGACCATGTAGATTGTCATCTACATCTGGACAATTTTGAGAGTAAATGGGAATGTTGTTAGTCATTACGCTGGTTCAGCAGATGTAAACTGGAACTGTCTCAGGCCAGTGGAGATCCGTTGATTACACTATTTATAACAGCTCTGTAGGAACATAAATGTTACTAAAGTGGGTTTAAACATAAATATTAGAAGATTTAATGATCACATTTTTTTTTTTTTTTACCTAAAGGAGTTTGTGGAATTTCGTAAGGCAAGAAGTGACATGCTTCTTTCTAGGAAGAATCAGCTGCTATTGGAATTCAGCTTCTGGAATGAACCTGTCCCACGGTCAGGACCTAACATATATGAACTCAGGTCTTACCAACTTCGAGTAAGTACTGAAATGCGAGTTAACTGTCTCCTCGTTCTTCTGTGAAGCAACACAAGCATTCTAACGCTGACAACAAAACCCGAATGTACGCTCTGTGATGTGTGTTTAGCATTACATTTTCATGTGACTTGTTTTCTTCCCTGTCCACTCCTTCTCGCCTTATTTCTTTTTTTCTTTCCCATTTTTCTCTCTTCTGCTAAGCTCTTTCTTTTTTTTTTTTTTTTTTTTTTCCCTTTTTGTCTTTTTCCGTGTCCGGCAACGGATCGCAACCCTCAGTGTCGCGCCCGCACCTCGCTCAGCCAGTGAGCGGGAACCGGTCTGTATGTGGGATCCGAACCCTCGGCGGGAGCGCCGCCGCACTCCCAAGCGGCACACTGTAGCAGTGCGCCACCGGGCTGGCCCTAAGCTCTTTCTAATACATAATTTGTTATTTGATTTTTTTCCAAATAGCATTTCTATTTTTAAGGGGAACAAGCTAAAATGCAGGACTAGGTGCAATACATGGCACGTACCATAGTAGAATTAGAGCAACTAATAAACAGCGTGACCAGTGAACAAATTATACAGCACTGTATTAGGTCTTGGTGACCTAATAATCACCTTTACACTGGAAAAAAAATGAAGTAATATACTTTTTAAGTTGAACAAGATTGAATTTTTTGAAATTGAATTTTTAAAAATTTCACAATAAAGTCTTAATGGGTACCCACTTCATGCATCTGAAGGATGGGCCTGTGTGTGGTTTTGGTTGTTTTTTTTTTTTTTTTTTTTTTTTTTTTTTTTTTTTTTTTTTTTTTT